AAGACTACAGGAGTAGGGAGAACATTTTAGAAAGAATCTGTGGCTGTGCATGGTGGGAGGGGGTACTCTGAATTACAGTACAAATTTGTCAATGCAAAATAAAAATCTCTTTCCATGTCTTGAAAGATCTCTGTGACATACAATCTGGGTGACTTTTAGATGACCACAGGTTATGCACGGAGAAGACCAGCAATGCATCTGTCTTCCTTGTTTCTTGGGTTTTGATAGGGCCAGGGGTGGATCCAGGATTTTGTAAAGGATGATGTGTAGATGAGGCAATGGGCATTGCAGGGGTGGTTGCACTCTGACTCCCAGCTCCCACCTGCACCAGGATGGGCAGATTGCTTCATGTGAGCAGCAGGCAGGGACTTTTTTAAAGTCCCCCAATCAGGTAAGAATATTTTTTCTCCTGTCTCAGAACCCTTATTCCCCCTTCTCCTTCATGCTCAGTGGCATGTCCCCCTCCTCTCCTCTCCTCTCTCCCACCCTTGCTCCCCTCCCCTCCCCTCCCATCCCCCACCCCCCACTGCTGTCACTGTCCTCCCATTCCCTGGCTGATCCAGGGGCTTAGGAGGGAGGCTCCTTCCCTGCTCCTGATGTGCTGCACAGGGAGCCAGGCTCAGCCAAGAAAAGCAGCAGGAGTGGGCAGGTTCCCCCTCCTTGAGCTGGTCCCAGGCTGGCAGTGAACACCCAAGGGCCAAGCAGACAGGAGAAACCAGCCCCACTGCCACTGCTATAGCCATCCCTGGATGAGCATGGCTGGAGCAGCTCTGAAGCCACCAACCCCAAAGACAGCTGGGGGCAGCTGGGGGAGGGGAGATGCTGCTGAGCATGGAGGGGAAGGGTGGAGTGGAATTCTTACTTGCTTTGGGGACTTAGTAAAAGTCGTTGATTGCTGCTTCTGCAGCTTCAACTGTGACTGCCAGCACATCCCCCTCTGGGTGGGGCTCATTATCTCTAAGATGGTTAACTGTTCCCAAATTTTAAGTCTAGCACTACCATTAGGACTTGTTTCTAAACTTGATATGTAGTAAATGTAAGACTCCATTGACTTGTAATTTGGATCAGGGCACAGCAGTCTGCTCAATACTGGTCTTCTTATGGTACTGTAAGAATCTTTCCTCTGCTTATTGGAACACACTGTTTATTTTAGTTTAATTTAATCTCTTTTTGCTCAGGATAGATTACTGAAATCTTCAGAGATTCCCTTCAAGGGTTGCAAGTGGCACATAGTTTGGGGATTTACTCAAAGATTCAAAGAATAGAACTCAACCCCAGTAGATTAAGTGCAAAGAAGTGAAAAAATATTAGTGCACTATCAAGGCTGAACAATACAAGTAGTGAGTCAGATGAACTGCAAATATTGTACCTTCTGTTATATGTAGGATAAGGGGTTTAAAGCATGTGAGTTCACATTTTCATTTAATTTTCATTTTTATAAGGAAACTGGATTTTGTCATGCCTCTTCTTTCCATTGGGATTAAAGCAATGGCACTGCAATAGAGAATTAAGGCCTTGATACTGAATTATGCATATGCTTAACTTTTCAGATGCAAGCAGTCCCTTTGATTTCAGTGGAACTACTCTTATGCTTAATGCTAAGCAAGTGTTTAAGTATAGACAGGATCAAGGCCTTATTTTCTGTAACACCTTTGAAGTAGAGGGAACTGTTGATCTTACAACATGTTAGAGATTTATTAATTTATCATGTTTGCACTATACCTTGTGCTTTGCCATTTTGAACTGATTGTAGAACATCCTGCATTTTGGAAAATTCTGTGGCAAGTTAAATATCATTTATCCGTTGCTGAACTTTGGAGACATTTTGAGAAAATGTCTACATTTAATTTCTCTTAACTCCCTGTTCTTCTGCACATACATTTTGTCACAATATAGCACACGGTGTAGGCATTCTTTTACAACCTTCATGCTTTTAAAATATTGTAGATTGTTTTATGATCTTTATCACTCTGGATACCTGTTGTTGCTTTGATTGGCAAGCTGAGAATTTAGTGGCCTTAAAAACATATATGTACATTAAAAATATTTTTGAATGATTTAACTTTGTGGTGAGAAAATATAAGGTATAAGCTCTCTCTTATAAAGGGAAACTTAAAGGAGGAATATTAAGGGATATATAGGAAGGGTGGTGAGGCATCTTCATCAGAAAAGACCTGTTTCATAGTAGGAGACATAGTTTATAAAGGATTATGAGCTTCATTCCTTTTATTAGGATTTTTATTTGTGCATATTAGAGGAAGGTACATAATAACTGACCCACACTTATTGCAATTGCTAGGCAAGTCTGTTTACTCAATTATCTGAGGGCATCTTTATGGTATGCTTGGGTAGCTGTGTGGGTTGGGTGCTTCAGTACAAGTTCACCGTTAATTATAGATTTGCCTTTCTGCTAAATAACAAAATAATTCCAGAATATGGCTGCCTGTAAGTGATTCCAGTGCTGACTTTCCAATGCCTCTTTTGTTGGCTGAATTGGACTTTGGGTCTTGACTGCCTTTCTGTTTGGCTGCTCTGTTGGAAGGGGAAATGCCTGAGGACCCGATGTGAGAGCAGATTGTTGATGAGCTGCCTCGTGCCCTTTTGGTTTTAGTTTTCTGTGGATTTAACTCAACTGGAATGAACACAGTCGCTTTCATGTCTGCAAAAAGAGGGTTATGTGCAAATTCCTCATTAGATTCCAATCAAGAACCTTTTGGGAAGAAAAATCAGGTATTTCACCAGGCTTCTTATCGAAGTGGTCTGAAAATAAACTTGCTGGTCAAAGAGTCATTTGCCTGCAGTCTGCTGCTTGTGTGCCCACTAACCCTCCTGGTTTATCCATTGACTGCTTGCCATGCAAAAGAGATTGACAAATCATGCATTTTTAGTGTGCAACCATGTAAACCATTTCTTTGAGAACATGTCCCTTGGGCTACAGCCTGTAGTCTCAAGTCAAAAGATCCTCCTTTCCTGAATATATGCAGAATAAAACCTATCACCATTCAAGAATGTCAGATTGTTGGGGTGGGGGTGAGGAAGGAGGAAGTTGATTTTGACTGACAAGCCCCTTAGTTTCTGATGTGGCTTTCACACTTTGAAATATTCAAGACTCCATATGTTACAAAAAACCCACTGAATACCACGTATAACATTGACTTTATCATTCTTTAATCTCAGTTTAATTGCTGTGGTCATATTACCCCACACTTAATAACCCACAGCTTGGTATATTATTTAATATCGTTGACACATACTTTGTTTTAAATGTCAGTGCTGGTAAAGCCCTGGAGTTGGCAATGTTGTGCATGATAGATGGCAGAAGAGATGGATCATCTGTTCTTTGTCTGTGCTGTTGGTATGTTGGCTGCAACTTTTTCAACTGTGACACTAGGCTGGTGCCAAACCCAAAGCTACTGAATGGGTAACATTATCCCTTGTATCTGATGTTCATAGCTAATCATTCTTGATTTCTTTGGCTGTTTTTACAGGAATGTGTAATATTATATCACCCAAGTTAGAGTGGTGAACTAGTGTTGTTTCAAATGGGCTGATTTAATTATTTCAGCACCCAGTGGCACCTTTGTTATTAAAGGATTTTCACAAAGCAGTACATAGTCTAATTATGTATTTACACTCGAGACTGTAACAGCATCTGCTGGGTAAATAATATACATTTGTAAAATGGTCTAGCTACTAATTTACACAGCCGACCACTGAGACATTGAAAGGCTTTGCATTCTATCATGTCAGCTCTCATGCATTTCCAAGTGTTTCTCCTGTCTCTTCACTACTGTTCAGAAAACAATGGAAATTGCATACCAAAAAGTGAAAACCTCTTCTAAAAAACAGCAATGTCTGTCTGGAATCTGTGAATTCAGGGTAAAGGCCGAAACTCCAGCCAGACTGCCCTCTTGTAGGAGCACAAAAGAAGCGCTATATCGCCTCTGTTTCCAAGGCCTGCATTTACATAAACACAGGAGTACAGTGCAGAACTTAAAAGGGAAACACACATTTTCATTATGGATTTCTGGCTTTGGATTTCCTAGTGCAAATCTGCCTTACAGCTAGCTCAAATGGCCTTCAGAACATTTGCCCTGAATAGCAAATCTTTGGTTGGCATCTAGCTGCCTTAGCAGCTCAAATGCCACCCCTTCCTTGAAGCTTGTGTTGGGGCCACAACAGTGGATGGTCCCTACACATGGGTAATCCCTGGATATCATTTCAGGAGTAAGTACAAGTAACATCATGCTAGAGAGCTATAGCTGTCATCCAGACAGTGATTCATCTGAAGATAGCTTATGATCTGCATCGAGAACTTATCTTAGGATCTGGCGGGGCCTCTGTGGCCTTGGCGGGGAGTGGGGAGTGGGAGTTCCCTCACCTGTCTCACGTGTGCCCACCTTCAGGCCCTGGAGGGGCAGGTGAGGGAACTCCAGGTGGAGATCAGCAGGCTGAGGGGAATCAGGGCTGCCAAGGATGAAATTGACGGGTCAAGTACGTAGTGGAGAGGCAACCTGGGAGGGACCCGATGCAGTGGTATGGCAGACAGTGACCACCAGGGCCAGGGCTACTTATGCTGCCAAAGTGTTGGCCCCCCCTGTACAACTGGAGAACAGGTATGAGACCCTGGCAGCATCAACGGAGAAGGAGGCAGGTGAAGATAACTCCAGAGGAGCTGATGCCACTCCATGCATGGTGCAGACTGAGTAATGCCAGAACACCCAGAGCAAGAGATGCCGGGTCCTTGTCATGAATGACTCCCTCCTGAGATGAACAGAGGGACCCATCTGTCACCTGGATCCCATGGCACGTGAGGTTTCCTTCATGCCCAGAGCTCAGATTCGGGACATCACGGTGATGATCCCAGACGTCATCTGGTACTCTGATCACTACCCCTTGGTCCTCATCCATGCGGGCACTAATGATGCGGCCAGGAGTAATGCTGGGGGCCAAGCTTAGGGAGACAGGAACACAGGTGATTTTCTCATCTGTTCTTCCAGTGAGCAGATGCAGACGGCACCACAAGGCCGGCATCGGAGAGGTCAACTGGCAGCTTCAGAGCTGGTGTTACCAGGCGGGCTTTGGATTCTTTGACCATGACCCACACTTCTGTGCAGGAGACATGCTAGGGCAGGATGGGTTGCACCTCTACCCAAAAGGTAATGTGTTTTCTCTTCCAGGTTGGCTTATCTCTTATGGTGAGCTTTAAGCTAGGTTCATCGGAGGATTGGGATGCAAACATGCAGGAGGACACTTTGACATCAAGCCAGGTGATGCAAGTGGGAACAACCCAGGTAAGTGACAAGGGCCCAGGCAAGCTTAGGAACAAGAGAGCAGCATGAACACCCATAGGAAGTCTTAATTGCCTCTACACAAATGCTAGAAGTATGGGGAATAAGCAGGAGGAACTCGCCCTACTGGTAGCTAGCAAAAACCCAGACCTGGTTGGGTTTACAGAAACTTGGTGGGATTCTACCCATGACTGGGAAGTAGACATCAAGAGCTATAGGCTGCATAGACAAGATAGAGTAGGAAGAAAAGTGCGGGGTAGCACTCTATGTTAAAGAGCAGCATATGTCCTCCATGATCATGATGGGCTCAGAAGAAGGGCAAACTGAGGCACTCTGGGTTAGAATGCAAGGGGGCTGTGGGGAAAGGGACTTGATAGTGGGCATCTCACCAGGGGGATGAGCTGGACCTGGAATTTTCAGGTCAGCTCATGGAGGCTGTAAGGACAAGGGATGTGGTTGTCATGGGTGACCTAAGCTACCCAGACATCTGCTGGGAGGATCAGTCAGCCAGGTCTGAATGCTCACATAGGTTTTTAGCCTGGATACAGGACCTCCACCTAACCCAGGAGGTACATAATCCCACCAGAGGAAATGCCTTGCTGGACTTGGTCCTTGCCACAGGTGATGACCTGGTGAGGGATCTGCAGGTGCTCGACTACCTAGGTGTTAGTGACCATTGTCTGCTGGAATTTACTATCCGGTGCAGGATGGCAAAAGAAAGCAGTAAGGCAAAAGTCCTTGACTTCAGGAGGGTTGACTTCAATGAGCTAAGGAGATTAGTAAGAGAGACGTGGGACTCGGAACCTCAGTGAGATGGGAGTCCAGGATGGGTGGTTATTCATTAAGGAGATGATCCTCCGAGCTCAGAGGGAGTCAGTCCCAATGTGAACCAAAGGGGGCAAGAGTGCTAAAAAGCACCCTTGGCTCAGTAAAGGCATCCAGGAGGGCCTGAGGGAAAAAAAAGTAGCATACAGTCAGTGGAAGCAAGGGGCAATCACCAAGGAGGATTACACCTCCATTGCTTGTGATTGCAGAGAGGCGGTTAGTAAGGCCAAGGCAGAGACGGAACTAGGGCTGGCAACCAGAATTAAGGATAACAAAAAGTCCTTTTTCAAATAAATATGGAGTAAGAAGAAGTCATCAGGGAATGTGGGGCCCCTACAGGACAGGCTTGGCAATCTGGTGATTGCAGAAAAGGAAAAAGTTGAACTCTTCAACAAGTTCTTTGCCTCCATTTTGATGAGGGTCATTTTCCAAATGACCAAAATGAAGGGGTCATTTTCTTTAGCAGGGACCAGGACAACTCCCCCACTAGGATTACAGACAGGCTCAAAGGACAAGACACCATGCCTAGGGTCAGGGACAATTTAGTTAGAGAACTTTTGGAGGGGCTGGACGTGTTTAAATCAGCAGGTCTGGATGCTCTTCATCCGAGGGGAATGAGGGAAATGGATAAGGGCATAGGAGGG